ATTGAGCCGACTGGCGTGGTTTCGAATCTCCGGTTGTACGTGAGAAGGAGTAGGGTCGCCTGTCCAACCTCGTGGGTTTTCTCCGGGTCCTCCGGTTTCCTCCTACTGCTAAAGATCCATATGCGCAAACGAATTATTGAAATAAAATTAAACCATATGTTAGTCCTGAAATGACCTAGTTGTGTCGAGTGGACGTTAAACCCCATTTCTCTCTCTCTCAACTCAATCAAATATCCAGTACTCATAGTTGGGCGCATTAGCCGATACTCACTTCATTATACTACGCATTAGCCGATACTCATATTAATTCATCCCAATATCCGATACCCACACCTGTATACAACGCATTAACCGATAGTTATATTAATTCATTCCAATATCAGATACTCACCCCTGTATACAACGCATTAACCCAATTCATCCCAATATCTGATACTCACCACTGTCTATAACGCATTGACCGATACCCATATTAATTCATCCCAATATCCCGTCTTCATTAGTCCAGTTGGAGCAGAACAATAGGACGTTAAATCCCATTTCATTTCATTTCGTTTCATCCCAATATCCGATACTAAATCCATCACGATATCCCATATTATTTCAAACTACTCCGATTCAAACAATGCCACACCAGATTGATAACACTTTAAAATGACATAACCAAATTATTATAGCAATAATAAAAACAACACATTATTTTACGTATGACAAAACGATAATAAGCGCCATGAATAAAGGCTAAAACACACCATTTGTCGGCTAATATACATTTAAAATATAAACACCTCTTGTTGAGAATTGTTAATTTGATACAGCTAAAATCGTTAGATAATGCAAATTTAGAGGATCGTTATACTCATTCGACAACGCTTCACACAATTACCTGGTTTGTGTTGATTGGGTGTTAAACAGGAAAACTTTAACTTACCCTTCATCGAATTCCAACTGTCAAGGACTTTTTTTTCATTCACGCCAACGTATACACCGGGCCTCGGTTATTTTTTCCCTAGATGCTATGTCTTGCCATACTAACCGTGTAGTATAAATGACCTACGTTAATTATACCCTTGGAAGAATAGGGTGTTTCTTCCATATTTGGGAAGGAAATTTTAACGCCAAGGTCAGTCTATAACGTGCAGAAATAAGGGGGTAATAAAAGAGGGTGTTGAGCGGAATTGATCAAATATTCCTAGCAGCTATCATCTAAGCTTTATTGACAACATGGAACATAGAAGCCTTGCAAGCAGTTTTATAACAAAGCTGTAGAAACCATTTAAACTGTAGTTTTATATTACGATCTCGAAAGAAAACACAACGAGGAAGTCCGATAGTACTACATCTATGCTTTAATTTGTTTGAACTAAGTTACACTTGGAAGCTTTTTCACACGTCCAGACAGCCATGTGCTATTAAAGGGGACAAGTCTTTAACTCAATATCTTCGACATTGCAAACACGACTTATTGGTCAAAATATCAACATTGATGTTGTTATCTTACTGTGAAAAGATGGGCTTCTGAATAGTCTGATTTGTACCTCGCTTGTCTTTTGAGTTAACGTGTTCATGTTGTACGCGACACACTGTCGCTCTTACGTCAGACTAACCTAAATTACATGTACTTACATTACTCTGTATAACCTGAAAATGATCAATTTTTATTTTCAACGAAAAAAAAAAGAAACCTATAAAAATCATTTCACGGAGATTTTTATGGTTTGGTCTATCTAGATTTTATGTGAATTGTGGTTAGACTTAGACAAGTGTGTATAATATTCAAAGTAAAGGAGTTTTTATTGTATGGTTGGGTTTTAGTTTATGTATATGTAAACGTCACTTCAGACGGAAAGAGATGTCTTAACGTTGTATAACATTAATGTTTGGGGCTGAATTAAAGAGACTAGTTTTTTTGCTTTTTGTACACGACGGATCTACATTAGTTTGCAAACAGTTCCGTTAAAGTTAATCCAAGCGAGTAACGTCATTGTAATCAGTCAGTGTTGACTGCACAGATCTGCTCTAGCTGAACATCCGGTAACTTATATTATGACCGCACTGTAGATGAGGCAAGAGTATTTGTACGAAAAGCCATCTCTCTCTCTCTCTCTCGCTCTCTCTCTCTCCCCCTCTCTCTCTCCCACACACACACACAGCGACAGTACAAGATGGATAACAATATTTTTATTCAAGATAGACCACCAGATGGTATTATTAAAACTGTCTCGAATATGACAAGTAAATATATAGCTCTGATGACATACACACATCTGAAACATTATAATTATATAAAAGTGGCTTATGAGATTGATGGATTTATTCATTTAATATAAAATTAAGCTTTCTGGACAATCAGTTGATGGGTAGGTTGGATTGAATATGGATTAAGGAGCGCTGGGAGAGGGGGTGGTTTAACTATGAAATTAGTATTATAATGGTATTCAATAATTTCTAAATACGTTTCCAGTTATATCTGTTGTTCTTGGACGCGTGGTTCGTGCATTAGGAATGTAACATTAATTTCAACTAAATGACATTGGTTTTGAAAGAAAGAAATACCAGAGAGAATGACAAACCAGCGAGAGTTACCGGTCCTGCTATTGGAATTGAAAGTACAGGAAAAACAATGAACTAGTTTATGTTTACTATCAGTAGAACTCCCAAGTTTCATTTAGCCGCGTGGTAGCGGATTTGATGACGGGGACAAAAACGCTATGTTTTATGTAACCGAGATGTCTGTTATTCTAGAATAATACAGATTACTATGTTTGTTTGTTCGCTACAGGAAACCAAAAGACCAAACTTATACATTTTAAAATAACTTCATAAAAATCAGTATTTTTACTAGAAATTTAACCGTTCTATTTATTTTGTCTTGGTGTAGTATTTAATGATGAAATGTACACTACTAATGGTGATATTTCACCTCTGTAATTTTCCAATACTATAACAATAACTACTATTTTTGTTAAAGATTTGTATTTGAAGAAAGCTTGTCATATTAGACTGTCCAGATTGTGATAGTATAAATGTCGCTTTAATCAAGCAAAGACAAAAATAATTAGTAAGATAAATATAGACTTAGATATAATAGGCGATCAACTAGAACTTGGCACGGAACTGGTATATATAACCAGTCCGTAAAATCAGTTATTGATTAAACAAGTCCAACTAAAATAAAACACAGACGTCTTTACTACACACGTCTATGGCTTATATAATTTACCGTTATGGCGTCAATTAAAATTTAACTTGGTTCATTTAGACAGGAGGTTAATGGTCTTTAGAACGGATTCTGTGATGTGTACGTGATTGTAAAGTAATTCCTCACTTTTCTGTTCTTTGATTTCAAAAGGTCGAGGAATGATTGGCTTTAAGTCGTCTCAGCTAATTAAAATTCGAGACACTTCATTCCCAGTTTTGAGGTTCAAGACTTCAGACTGGGTTCAGGTTCATTCTGTTGATACCCGACTGAGTTTGACTATATTATAGAAGGACGGTGGCGTTCCAGTCGCATTCAACCTACCTCAACAGTTAGTTTGGATTAAGGATACCTTCTTCGTAAGTTGATTGCTAACGCAAAGTGATTTTTTTACTATTCTGTACGCACATCTGCTTGATGTACATGTCCTTTGAGCCCAGTACAGTACAATTTGAGGTATTTTGATGATTAATGTACACGTGAGAGAATGTTTGTCAAAAGAGAATTTAATATGCTGTGTCGATAAGTGCATATTGGCCGTTTTGTGATCGATGAGATTATGAGATAATCAGAGATTAAATAGTCTGAAGTTAGCTATCCGTTAATCGTTTATGGTCCCAGTGGTCCCAACTATTGTTTGTTGGGTTTTTTTTTTAAGATCGACAATTTGGGTTTGCTATTACTGTTAAAGATCATACCGGCTATATGTTTCTATTTCAGTTTGAAAAGGGTAAATTTTGAATATCATGTTGGTGTAGGTGTTGTGTTTGCTTTGCTTTACGACAGTAGTAGGAACGCCACAGTCATCCCACACAGTATTATCTTAAGCTTGAACTTGTAATATATACGATAACGTCTTTTCTAGTTGGAAGTATCGTCGATTGCGGGTATAGCCCATGGTTCTAATTATTTTTTCGACAGATGTTTGCAAATATCATTAGATTACTTTATGTGAGATCAGTGCGTCGTTCGCATAAATAATTTATATATCTGACTTAGCATTGTGCTTTGCGGTTTGGTGAGAAAGGAACCCTCTGCATTTATGCTTGGAAGTACTAATAACGTCTGGCATAAATCATTGCCATAAATCCCAGAGTCTGAAATTACTTAAGTTAGTAAGCTATTTTAATTATCCTTATGAACAATGCAAGATCCGCACGGGACACAACGTTGTGAATCGAGATAGGTTAGTGAGCTATTTGATTTCTCTAAATAAGCCATGCAAGATCCCCACAGTTTGAGATCTTCGTAGTAGAAATTAATATCATTTTGATTAACATGAATTCGTCCATATTTCGTTGTTTTAATGGTCCTTGCAGGAGATAAACACCTTTGATTTAAGCAAGCATGGAGTATTATTTAGGTGTGTTATTTCAGTTAGTGATGGTGTAACGGCAAATACTGGCTTTTTCTAAAAACATATAATATTCCACAAAGGCAAAATTTCATCCCAGAAAACAATCCAGCATATGAAATGAAATCAAATGAAATCGAAAATTAAGAGGCAAAGCCATTTGCAGTACAAAGTGACAACTTAGTGTGGAAGTACACGACTTAGCCAAGGATAGGTGGTAACAAAACCCAATACTAAAGTTTCCGGTGACGTTGCATCATTGTGTAGCATTTCAGATGAGGTAATGGTGTAAAATTCATAATTCTGGAGGGGTTGAAGGCAGGCGAGACGAACGTGAACTAATTTATAACGATACACCTGGCGGCCATACAACAGGGTAAACGAAGATTCCCGACTGATCGTACCGTTAATATAATCTTGTTATTTCATTTTTATTTTCAGAATTACCAATTACACCATAAGGTAAAGAAATGTAACCAATCAGATCCAATGATGTATTTAATACGAAAGATTTTTGCCTCGGACACTTCCGTTGCCAAGGCTGAATTGGAGCAAGGTAAGCTCCTAAAGAAGACCGGAAGGAAAGGCCGGGGCAAAGGTCAATTTAATATGCCTTGTGGGGTAGCTGTTACTAAATCAGGTACGTAATATGCTAAACCCGATAACCCTTCTGCGGTTAGTTTTTGAAATAGTCTATGATTTTATAATGCATGTTCACCAATAATGGCCGTCCTCATCGTTTTTACTAAACAGAAATAATTTTATTTTCTTCTGATAATTGCTTTGTTTATTATTCATTATATTTCGTTTAGTTTATTTTTATACTTTCGATGGCCTCCACTACATGAAGTTCTGGTCGGTTGTAGTGGTAGGCCTCGGCTTTTGACGCTATGACGACAGACATTTGATTAGTCTGTCAGATCCTAGTGTAGAAAAGATAAGTAAAACGAAATTTTGAACTATAAAAAATTAACGAAATAGGATCTGTGTTTTAATCAGATTGTTGATCTATAATCTTTAGAAAAGATCCCCTGGACTTGACTTAAAAAATAGACCTATGAAACTTAAAACGTAAAGGAAATTCAATCTAACATTTACAATTTACTTAGACTTTCAAATTTTAAGACTATTTAAGACTATGTGTGATTTTAGCGCTATAGACTACACAACTGTGAAAGTTGGGTTTCATATTAGTCTAAAAATGGTTCATTTCCGCTCAGTATTTACAAAAATGTGACGAAAATGCTGCTCCATATAACAAGACGATGGCCATCGTTATATTTCTCATGAATATTAGCTGGGAGATTATCTAGCGTTGGTATTTTGATTTTGTTTTCTGAATTAAATGTCAACTAATAGCATTGATTAAGCAGTTAGAAAATTTAAATTTTCCGAAAAATGTCTATAACAAAAGGTTGCTTTAACTTTTTTCTCTTTGTTTTCAGGGGATGTCGTGGTAGCAGACACCGAGAATCATCGAATACAGATATTTAATAGTGACGGATTATTTAAATATAAATTCGGAACTAAAGGGAGCGAACTCAACCAGCTTAGTTATCCAATGTGTGTTGCCATGACAAGCAATGATACAATTGCTGTCACGGACAGTGTCAATGCGTGTGTAAAAATATTTTCGCAAAATGGCGATTTACTGCAGCATTTTAAACCAAAGAGTGTTTTCGAATTTCCTTATGGCATTAGTATCAGCGTAGACAGTTTTTACGTTGTGACCGACATATGCAAACACGAGGTGGTCGTATTGGGACCAAACGGCGAGCTCAGCCATGTTATTGGTTGCTATGGTGACGGTGCTAGGGAGTTTGATCATCCTTATTTTGTGACTGTGAATAAAGACAAGCAGATTATTGTCTCCGATTCGGGAAATAGTTCCATTAAGATCTTCCAATTCCAAGGCAGATTACTGCGCTCATTTACCTTAACTGACTTTAAACTTCCTCAGGAGAGTTTTGTGTCGTTGTATGGGATGTGTACAGATTCTGAAGGAAATACTATCGTTATATGCAACAATACTGTTTATATATTGACTAGAAACGGGCGTTTGTGGGAGATTATAACGCCTAAGGATGGTTTAGCATCACCCAAGTGCATTGCCTTCTCACCTAGTGGGCGATTAGTAGTTACCCAGGCTGATTATGATGAAAAACATGAACTATGTTTGTTTCGTTATAATACTGACGATTATAAATCTCTAAATATGTTACTATTTTACGCCATATCTATATAGCTAGTGTAATCGAACTGTAGGATAGGTTAGTTAAACAAATTTGTGCTTCATTATTCACCACTCAAAGATGCATGTTTTAATTATGATTCTTTTTCAAATCACGTTCATTATTATATCTTAAGCTTTTTCTGATTGCTGGATTCTGCAACAGAATCTGCGTATTTGACGTTTAGAATCAAGACAGAGCAAGTCCACGGCCCGTTTCCTCTGTTTTTTATTATCTGCGTTATATAAAATACATAAACAATTTCTTTTTCTTCTTTTTAGCTATTTTGATCTAGAACCCTTTAGAGGCTTTGAATTAACATTAATGGTTTTTAGAAGGATAGATCGGGGCGTAGACGTCCGTTGGGAAAATTCCAAAGGAAAAATATGAATTTAAACTTGTCTTGGCGTAGTAAACAAACCCTTCAAAATTTAAACCAAATACTTGAAATGTTTAGCACATTTGCTGAAATATGGTTTGAAAAGAATATTGTAGTCAGTGGGAGACATCATTAGTTGCCTAACTCCGGGCTAAAATAAACAGAATAACCTCCCTTTGAATATCTCGTAGATTTTCCGTTCAGAAATGTAACATTAGATTTATTTAATTAAGAATATTCGAGCCTTGTTTTATTCACAGTGTATCGTGGAAACAGTACCTATTTCAGTTATTTAGTCTTAGGATGAATTAATCGAACTGCCACACTAGGTAGACTATCATTAAGAAAATCGTTTTGATCATCGAAACAATTATTTCACGGTGATGGCGATTTCAGGCGTGCAAGTTCAGTCCATCGGCATCGTAGCAATTACTTGATAACGTGAAAATGGGCAAAGGGATGGAATACTTCTTTCAATAGCTTACAAAAGAGACAAAACTGTGGTTAATCATTTTCAGCTTGGCTGTAGTCTCGTTTCCGTATTACGTTAGCTATATTCTTGGAGTTTCGTAGACCTCTGTACAGGAACAAATTTTTATTTTCTGAAGCTAAGCATACGGTCGTCATAGTATCCCTTTGACAGTGATGTCAAACAAAACGTATTGTTGCACAGTCGATCACAAACTCTCCAGTAGATACGTTTAAAAACCGACTGACGCTTTCGCGGTAATACCGTTCGTTCACGAACGTTACATCACTGTTCACAAAGGTCACGTCACTGCTCGAAAATCGTCTCACGTGTGGATTGGAAGCATTACAGGGGCTGGTACCAATCTCTATCCTTTGCAACGTTTTGTAAGATTTAGATAAAGAGCTTGCCATTCTGGTGTTTGAATCTATAGCGTAGATTGTGTATTATCGTAGCAACGGTACTTCACGATCGCAACTAAGTCTAGTTTATCCATTTTTAAATTGAATTATTAAATGACGAACGTGTTTCAATCCATTTAAATCTCGGCCATCCGGTAGTATAACAATTAACGATTTGATTTTAGGCTTGGTGTGTGAATAACAGTCTAAATAATAGTTTATATACAACTGCTTGTAGTTTTTTCGTTGATGTGCATACACGTTATAACTCATATCAAGCTGTCATGACATCATCATAGGTTGATATATTCGGTTCATATCAACCTCTGATGACTTTGATGAAATATTACAAAGAACACAGAAATCCCTTTTTTTATTATCTTTAGAATTTAAATGTTTATGATACAGTTAGTTGCATCAGGTGTACTTATCGCTATATTTAGATCGAACTTTTAATTTCGTATTTTTTGCACCAGTTGCATTGCTGGAACTCGACCCTCTTTTATGTAGCCAATCACTTAGGTTCTGAAAGATATGCACACAGTATTATCAAAAATATCAGAAGAAAAAGTCTATTTACCCTCGATAATTCAATATGTACAAAATAACTATAGACTTGTTAAAACCCTCAACACTTCGATTATCCATGTCTAAAATATCTTTTAGAATTTTCTCTTCGTCCACATGCAGAATTATTTCTCCACACACTCCAAGACTTGAAAGTATTTATAGCCCAACAGTCCCTTCGTTAAATATTTGTGGGGACAGTCCCCTTAACACGGTCCGTTAAATCCTTCTCTGACCATACTGAAAACCTTTCAGGTTCACAGTCAGAAAAAGCGGAACACATTGCCTTCTTATGATCAAATTTTTCTTCAGTTTTTGTACTAGCAAGTTGCAGATCCTCACTGGATTTTGCATTCACATCTATTTCGCCTTCAATCTGTTGGCTAAAAGGGATTAATTCTTCGTCTAATAACGTATTACTATCCATTTCTACTTTGCTTTCAATTCAAAAGAACCTATAGAGACTCCAAAATGGCGAGAAGATATTTTGAAAGAAACCTGCACGTACATTAACGTGATAAAGTTCGGTAATTTTCGTTATTTTGCGGAAATTATCGGGACATTATCCAATCATTGTTGACTTCAAATAGAAAAGTCCATTTAATTTAAGGACGATTAGAACTTTGACTTTGTATATGTCGGATATAAACATTCTCACCCTCGGATTGATATGACAGAGAATACTTTGGCTTCATATCAACCTCGGATAGGTTAATATCCTATACATATAACATTCCAAACCAACATAAAGACCTACAATTGGCAGCATTTGCTCTTACTTACTGCATGTTTCATGCAATACTGTACTAAGGGATGGCCAAGTTGTGGATATCATGCTAAATCATGCTAATAACCTGTTTGAATCATTTTCCTTATACATCTCAGGTTTATAATTTAACGCACAACTAATTGAAATCTTGGTTCATTTACTGACTTACTTCATATTATCATTCACATATGTTGTCAATAAGAATGATAATATCTCATTGTCATCACAGATCTCTTAAATTTATCTTAATGTTTCATGTTTTGATCGTATATATACGTATATACGCCTACACCGAAATGCTGTGTGTATTGTCATGCCTGATCTCCCGCGACCGGGCCATGACCACTTCATCGAAGACAGATCCCGTAATTTTGATGTCATTTTTACAAATTGCAGTTAAAGTGAAACTGACTGACCCCTCTGATTTTGGTCGATTTTAGACTTCGCATTAAATAGTTATTAACCTTGATTCCGAATTCTTGTGAGGGCAATAATATGTGAAAATTCTTGACGAAAATTATTTATTCGATCAAGTGTTGGGATTTTTTTGTTTTGTGGAGTTATGGCCCCTTGTACGAAAACACATTGTGCGGAGAATAGCGCTGCTCGGGTTACTTTGTATCGCAAGCAATTGTTTTAAATTAAAATCTTTATGAGAGTGATGGGTGTTGATTGAGCCATCCTAATTATAAAATAATGTTTGCTCTCTTTTCTATACGAAGATAATCATGAGTTTAACTTCTGTGATCACTGGTGTGAGCAAAGCTTTATAAATCTAACTTGGAAAAAACAGAACGCTTAAAGTCTTATAAAATTGACCTTCTCACTTTCTAAATCTATTTAACTTTCATTAATTAATGGTAATTAGCGCCTTTATCTTAGATTTAATTTTATTTAAGAAAAATGCCATTATTCAAATTGTGGACTACTCGTAAATTTGACATTGTTTTAATAATGTTCCTTTTTTTATATAGTTATGCTTTATATTTCTGCTTGTATATAAAATAAATCGCCCCGCCGTAAATTTAATGTCATTGTCAGTATTGAACATTTTAAAGAAATATTGCCTTTCAATAAATGAGATTTTGTATTAAACACTATAAACAAGTTTCTTAATAGAGTATATGGGTATGTATTTTCAAATTTGTTGAAAAGTGCAGGCCTAGATCGTTGATTGGGATTATTTCGCAAACAGTTTTATTCAGAATATAGTCTTTTTCGTTTTTTTAAACTTCTGTAATCACTGGTGTGAGCAAAACTTTACAAATCTAATTTGGAAAAACAGAACTCTTAAAGTTTCATAAATTTAACCTTTCATAAACTTCCATCATCTATTTAACTTTCATTAATTCATGGTAATTAACGCTTTATCTTAGATTCAGATTAATTTAAGAAATATACCATTATTCAAATTGTGGACGTAGATTTGACATTGTTTTAACAATGTACAATTTTTTTCAAAGTTATGCTTTTATATTTCTGCTTCTGTATGTTTTATATTAAGAAATATTTATTTTCAATAAATAATGAGATTTTCTATTAAAAACTATAAACATGTTTCTTAATAGAGAATATAGGTATTATTTTCAGAATTGTGCAGTCCTGTGGTGTTGATCGGGAATATTTCGCGCACAATTTTATTCTGAATAATTAAAATAGTCTTTTTATTGATAGAGGTTTAAAATTCCATCCCATATTATTTGCTCCTAACGTATGTAAAGACACTATTTCCCGAAGTATAGTTCTACTGACACCACTCTTTCTCACGGACTGCAGGTCCATCGGTATCTAAAGGATCAAAGGTTATTTGACCAACATTATGCCAGAAAAGTATACAACGTTTTGAATACCAGACAATGAAATTATCTATAAGCCCGGTGAAATTTGTTACGAGGACTTCTTTCAAAGGATACATCAGATAAGGGGTCATACGAAAGTTGTTAAAAATTTGATTTCACTACACAATTAACTATTAGTGACAAAACTATTAGTCAATACATGCTACCTTGTACGGGTTTTCAAATAGGTCAGTGTCCGGACTTTCAATTAGCTAAATCTATAACTATTTTGATATTATATTATATATGAGATTAATTACATTTATTGTCTTGTTCAGGGTTCTATTACCTCTTTAAAATTTCATCAATATCATTTACATTTTATACGCCCCTGTCTGCAAACGAATGAGTTCGCAGATAGTGCATTATCTTTTTGGAGATGTTTGAATTTGAATATATTTTGTTTATTACTCATCGAGTTATTACTCTTGATATGGCTAAAATAACAAGATTTTGCATTGTAGATGGCTTGATGTCTATGATATTTCGGATGATTTCCATATCAATTATTTGCGTAATTATCATCCATATCCTTTTGATAAAACTTGATATCTCACCTTTATATACACGTGGGCTTTTGGATGGGTTATATTCAAAGTGAATAGATAACTCTACAAACTGTTATTTCCAAAATCTTCAAGTGGGCATTTGTGGTGGTGACCTGTCGTTATTACCGAGAACTCGCGATTTTATATAATGTACATTTTAGCGGTATTGTTTTTAGTATTTTTTGTACAAATCATTTATATTCATTTGGAATGGATGTATGCTTCACATGTATCTATACAACCATTTAGTAGTTCTTTTTCTATTATATTATGCTGGATTTGAATGAATTATTATGCATGCCATAATAAAAAATAAACATCAACATCTTTATTTCGTTGTAATTTTGTTAGTTAAAGTCTGGTTCACTACTGCGCCCGATTAAAACAATGCTACGCTAGCTGTTCACTGCAATCATATCCAATTACAATTTGCATGCATGTACATTTCAGGGTTCCCGTGTCATCATTCAAAATGGAGATTCTCGTATTCCGCCATATTTTTGCCTCAATTGTCAAATAGGGACTATTCAGCTGATTGGAATATTTTAAAAATGAACAGGCTATAAATGAAATGAAAATACGGGGTTAACGTCCTACTATTCTGCACCCACTGGGCTAATGAAGACAGGCATATATGTGTCAATGGTTCGTTTACGTGCACGCCAATCTGAACTACAGACTCACCCTACCTGCAGAAAAAAAGCCAGCTACCATTTAATTTTCGTACGTTAGTTACGTACGCGTGCACGCTAATGTGTATACGGAACCTCGGTTTTTGTACCATCCGAACGACTATAAGTTTTTTTCCCTTGTCAAGCCCTCCATCATGCACCACTGAGGAACCACGCCGGAAAATCCAAATGATCTTTCTCGGCCAAAACCCGGATCGAACAAGGGACCTCCAGTTTAGCGAGCTAATGTCTCAACAGGCTAGGTGTGAAGATCTTTATGACAGTAGAGCACAAAAAGCATCTCTTCAGTATGCACAGTCCAAAACTGGAACGAAGTCAAAATTCATAGAGGGGACCACAGGCGCAAATTCAAATTCCTACTAGACTGATGGTACGTAACTATTGTTGAAGTTCAAATAATACGTGGCTTTAGCGCATGGCAACCTTTGACGGAGACAGTAGACATCACATTAGAGACACAACGAAATATTTCATTGGTTTTTATTAATAAAAACTTTAGATTTCATTTCCATTTCATTTTGGGCTTTTTATTAGTAGTATATATGGGAGTAGCCATAGACAAGGTAGGTATATTTCAATCTTAAGCATATTTCTACCTCAAATATTGCTTTACGTATTTTAAAAGAATAATAAATCTATTATTTGAGTAAATATTCTTACAAATCGATACCGCCGGACAAGATTTAAACCATTCAGGCCACACCTAATTTTATTCTTTAGTTCTTCGAAAGAAGAAATAATCCACCCAAATCTTGTGTGCAATATTTTGTTAATGTTTGAAAACATGAATATTTGGAACCGAAACGTTTTGAGAAGAGCAACTAAGTACCTTCTGTGTTTAAATTACTTCTTTTCCTGGATAAATTGGGGGCCAAATTTTCAATAGTAGTATTCCTGAATAACAGACATTCAATTTGGTGTGGCCTTACATGATCTTTATAGCTCTTAGTGCCGTCTAACACTTCCAAGGGAGGCTACCTCCATTTTCAATAATCCGAACGTATACAGGGAAATATTTGAGAAAATGTTTGGACATTGTACATCTTAAAATATTATATTTATCAAATAACCAACCTCATACAAAATATCTGATTTAATTTCCAAGATGTATGTTCTATAGGACAAAATACCTTTATATATTTGTGGAACACATAATAATAATTGCATTACTGGGCATTTGAAATATTCAAAAACATATTCTAACCAAAACCCAAAACCTTAATCAAGGAGCTGGAAATTTTGAAATTTAAAAAAACAGTTTTCCACTCATTTTTCTGTGGCTACTCCGACCCCTTTATCATAAAAATATATATTATATTACCTAAATATAAAAGTACAAAAGTATAGACAGGGATTTCGTATAAATCAAGGTAAAAAAATGGTGTAATGTTGAAGAGCTAATTATAAATTAGTCCAGATCAGCCTAAAACCAGATCTCCGTATGGTGTTTAACGTTGTAGACCTTTCATGGTATTTTGTTCAGACCAATACCTTCCAGGCGAAGTGAGGACAATTTGAAATTAAAGATTTCTATAGTGGAATTTAGATCTACAATTCTTTAGCAACGTATTTCCAGCTACCAACAATACCTTCATATGGCAAAAGTGTTATACCGGAAGGAGAAAGCTCGTCGCCAACAGAATACGTCCCCGCGGTGTTTGTTGTCAAGACAACGGACACTAATTCTGGAAGTGATTCATGAGTTCCAGAGAAATCGTAAGATGCTGTTTTATTAGCAACATTTACAGCAACTATATACCTGAAAATAAAAACAAAATGAACTTAGGAAATTGCACAATAAATAAATACATTTTTGTGTTCGAAGGAGGACATTTTAAGGTTATAACGTCAACAAAGTAAACTGAAAACCTACCCCGTTTTGCCGTCAAAATATCGAACAAAGGCTATGATGCCATCGCCTTGAGGGAGAAGTTGGTGATAGCCAAATTGGAATGATGCTTTCTCTCGTAAGGTTGTTAGATTTTTAAACAGGTTAAATATTGATTTACCATCCAGTGCTAGTGCCTAAAAAATAAATAAAAGATAAAAAAAATCAAATGAAATAAACTTGTTGGTTGTAATCCTCAGAATGAGAGGTAAATTAAGCAGGCAATGTGGCCTTCAATGGTTTCGACAAGAGTCGTTTTGGTTGTACGTTGCCAGGAATGATGCCTCACTAAGGGACATCCCTTCATCAGCTAGAGTTTACATTCAGGTTTTGATAGTTGGAAATGGTAAAGTTGTAATAACTAAAAGTTTTAGTAAAGTTATTTCCGATTGTTGACTGATCAAAATCCCGAGCGAGGTACACATTTGTTAAGAGTTAACAGCTAAAAGCTGACTCAAATGAGATACCTCAAATGACATTTACTGAGAAGAGTCCTATGCATGCAGATTGAAGCCATAGGACTCTTCTCAATAAAAGCCATTTGAGGTGAGTGTAAATAAGGTGTAAATTTTACCATTAAAAAGTTCTAAAAACAAAATTTACCTGAACGGTATTGTTCTCATATCCAGAATTAACAGGCAACCAAGGTATGCAACTCTGGTTACAAAATCCAGCATTGCTAGAGTTATCCCACTGCATGGGGGCCCGCATGGGTTGATCCCGCGACCAAGCGTTGCTAGACAGATTCCTTGAATCTACCATGCCGATCTCGTCACCATAATAAACCATTGGCGTCCCTGGTAAGAGCATTGTAAGGAACAATAATGGGCGATTTAATTCTGCTCTGCTTTTAGAAAATCTTGGAACATTCTCATCACCTCCCTATAATAGAATTGACGTAATAAAAGTGTTAGAAAATATTAAATGTATACATAATTTTTTTTTTCAAAACAATGGATTACTTCCAATTCTACACATAGTACCGGAAACTATAATAACAATCTGATTAAATTACAGATCTATATTTCGTTTCGTTTCTTTATACCTCCGATGGCAAGTTGTAGTGGGGGTCGGGTCAGGGGTCACGCGAGCGGCTTTTAACGCTATGACGTCAGACATTTGATTAACCCATCAGCGTTGATGTTTTTAGTAGGATATCGCACGCCAAGAACTCGCTGTAACAAACAGTTTCATTGGCTAATCCCTTACCCCAGCCAGTACACAGGTTATACAACTCTTCCAGATCCAAGGAGTAGTAAAGACAGGTAAAACGAAATTTTGAACTATAAAAATCGAAACGAAATAGGATCTGTGTTTTAATCAGATTGCGGTAACTACCAGCAACTTTTATAGGATAATATTTCAGAAAACATCAACAGCAACCCAACCGATATTCCCTATTTGGTATTATTGGGAGTGTAAGAATTAAATACGTTTCAATATGTGTGGAGGGTATCCTCGTGTGCTTACTTTACATATCTAATCATTATAAGGCAATGTACAAGTGGTAATATTCATCATCTTTTACTTACCAACCAATTACTCCATCGGCCAGCCGGAAGGGAATCTAGCCAATTCCTCAGTAGTGTATAGATAGACTTAGCATCCGATGATTTAGTGACTTGTTGGAAAGGTCTGTTGAGGGGGAAATTAACACCATCTCGATTATTCATCCCATAATAAGCCATATTCATGTTCAAATCTCCCATAACATCAGCAAATAGTAGCCTATTATAAAATTAAATTAAATTCTACTTTAATGCGTGTTTCCAGATTTGGAATCCATTCTTCTTGTTTCCAGTAGATTTGAATATTTTGGATTAAAAATGGCGGTTTACCACAAGTCAACAGCAAGCCAAATCTGACTTTGGTTCCCGGGAATTCAAATCCGCACTATTTCTTTGTGGGAACATTTACAATTAGAGCTCCCGTTAACGAGGACTTGTTTAGAAATTTAACATTTTAATAGTGTTCATCGTTTTGATGAACATATTTTGAAAACGCATAAGATATTAGAAATTAAAAAACACGCTTACATTTCTCTCCCGGTTGCATTACCATGCATATTCAAAACATAACGCCATCTTGATAAATAGTCGAAATTCTCCGGTCTGCCATAAGTGTATTTATGATCGTAGTAGTCATAAGCATCCTGTTGATAAAGAAAACCTATGTTAAATAATACATTCGTTGCGGTTTCATATTTAAAAAAAACATAAGAGCTGTCACTCTTTCACCCCTCATAGATTCCTATAGTTCGACTCATAGATCATTTATATTCAATAACAATATCACAGAATTAAAATTTAAAATAAACTTCGAATTCGAAATTAGCGTTTCCAAACAAAACGTATTCTTGTATTTTTAGGCGAAGAATACACATACAGTACGAAATAAATCCTTAGAGATAAGAAGATACAAACAGAAGCCCAAAATTGAAAATTAAACCTAGACAATAATTAAAATTCCTCATGTACAGGACCGAGATTTTGATTTTTTCTCATCTTACCGGATCTGTGGTAGTAGATGTATTTGAAGGATGTTCATCTCTCAAATCATAGTCTTCAATCAACATAGCACTCTCTCTAACATAAAACCCATCAACTCCTAAATCCAGCCAAAACTTTAATATTCGCTGCAAAATAGAATTTAAATAACTTATTAGTCGATTAGTTTGAATTGGATTGGTTATTCAGTGCTGTTATATTAACAAATTTTAAAAAGTCCTCAAACAGACAATGGAGCCTACTGCCCCCAGCAGAGAACAAAAATGAAATGAAAATGAAATGGGGTTTAACGTCCTATTGTTCTGCTCCAAACTAGGCTAATGAAGACGGATATACACAATACAGTGTGCTATGAGGGAAATTTTGCCTGGATAGCGGCACTACGGTCTACTCTTATATCGAATTTCAACTGTCAAGGGATCTTTTATGTGCACGCCAATATGTACACGGGACCTCGGTTTTCGTCCCACCCGAACGATTAGATAGCCCAGCAGAGAACAATAAATGCCATTACAACAAGAACATAGATGAAAAGATGTTCCATTAACTTAAACAAGTATATATACTAACCTCCATCTCTTCTTTGACTTCATTGGATCTCAGATTTAGATCTGGTTGATCAACTTCTCTCTGGTGAAGATAGTACTTGTTCGTCGTGTTATCAAACGTCCATGCTGAACCGTCGTATATAGATTTCTAAATACAAAACAAATGTTTTTAACCTCACTGCTAATATATACACAACTATTTGCTTGAATATATCCTTTTCTATCTATTAAATTCAATGTTTATCTCTGAATAATGCTCATATATTTGACGTTTCAATTCGATTAAAGTTTCATGAGAGGGTAATGTCACCGCCACCCTGCCCTCCTAAACAATTAAGCGATATTGTCAGAGACCTGCACACAAAACTAGCGTTTTGTACTTTCAATGTTCTAATATTAGGACATAGAAATATTTATAATTTCATTTTTTTTCCGATAGTATCCCATCCACGCGAACATATTCCGCGTGGTTTCATTACCAAGTCAACTGTAGCCTCAGTTATGCAGGCAAATATTCTTAAACCAGAACAGGGGCGATTGTTGTCAAACTGACAATATTTAATTCGTTTGCCGATATTTAATTCTTTTGCCGATATTTTTTGATAGAAATAAACTTTAAAAGCAAATATACACGGTATGAGGAGACTATTCTTATATTCATGGTATTGTAGTTAGAAATCTACATTAACATATTTCACGATCATCAAGTGCCCAATTTTGTTCATAATTTCCCTTGACACTGCCCTGGATTGCTTCTAACACTAAGACAGGGAATGTATATTTCATGTACAAAGGTCGTAAAAAGATAAAATTTACCCAGTTTGAAGGAGGTAAACCTGGTGCAGCTCCATCAGCCCACAAATAGAAATTCCTCTTACTGTTGTTTCTAGACGAGTCCTTACTGGCATCAAACCACGGGTGTTCTATACTCGTAAATCCAGGTATAAAATCCATTATCAAATACATACCTAACATTAAGAAAAGAATTGCTAGTTGAATATAAAGTTCTACTAAATATTATACATTTTTAGCATACATTATAGAATTGAGTTTGTAGAAATGCATAGTTCCCTGAACACGAACATTTAACTACTATAAAAGAAATGCGATTCAAAGTAGTGTGCACCAATTGTATCCATATTCTCCAAAAACACAAAAATATTATTCTCCATAAAAATCAAAGGCAATAGTTATCTAAATACCTATATAGCCCATTTGAGATGGAAGTGATAACTGATCCTATAGAATCGGTAAAGCTAGTACCATCCTATGCCGATACCAATCATTCGTCTGAGCAAAAAACACCATGTGAACTGGTACAGTAAGTTAAGGAACATGGTCTTCATACAACAAGAGGGCACAACATCCCGAATGGAAGATAATGAGGGGCGCTCAAGACATAGGTAACATTGTTCTCGGCAAGGACTGTAATTAATTTATCGTTAGAGATTGGGCTCTTTTAAACTTGGTAACTTTACGAAACGCTTACACTTCTAGCACAAAGATGAAATTTTATAATATTGTTTTATAGTCCAGAATCAGCAAAATTATCCCCTGGATAGACCGAACCTATCCTCTGGGAACCCTTACCTTACCTCGTTCGTGTGTAGCATTAACCAACGCTTTAAAGTCATCCATAGTTCCATATTCAGGATTTATTTCTTTGTGGTTGATAATATGATAATCAGAATTCTTGTTAGCTTGTTGATAGATAGGACTGAGAGATAAAATACCAACTCCCAGGCTCTTCAAATAGTTCAGACTGTTGAATATACCTACAAATGTGTTAAGATAAAATAATAAAAGCCTGAAAAGATACCGAATTAGTTGTTGTTTCGTTCTGACTCTTTTGCAGGATTTGAGAATTAGGTGAGTTAGAAAGTTTGAAATATCCATAACTTTCAAAAAAATATAAGCGACTACAATATTATTATTAAATAATCGTATTCTTAAGAAGAAAAACCTGGTTTTTTTAATATCGCTATTTTTGATAAAAGAATCACATTACATGTATTTACATTAAATCTCCAAAGATATCATCAATATCATAACAATATTGTCGTAGAAATAAGATAAGTTTATGAGTTCTTGAGTTCTTGTAAAAATGAATCCAGTTAATGCTTGACTGAATGGATAACGTGTACACCGCGAATAACAACGGATGACGTGTAGGTTACATGAAGGCCGGTTACTCCCAAAATTGATTAACTGACTCTACCACTGCGAATAATTCATTCAGATTGGCTGCAAAGAAAGAAAATTGTCATACCATTTAAGTCTCCAATTCCATCACTACCGCTGTCCTTGAAGCTTCGAACATAAACTCGATACGCGGTCTTCTTTTGCCACCATACCTGATTTGCCGGTTCGCGACATCGAGGGTAGACCAAAACAAGGGCGATAACTGTTATTATCAAACCAAACCACACCAGAAAGACAATAATCATGCCAATATATCTGTAAAGAGAAGACGAAATATAGAATCATAATTAATAAGAATTCCAAATTAAAATAGCAATTACAGGTATAGGTAATTATAATATTAAATCCAAACTGCAATGTAATACAGAACCAACATTAAGTTTTTAGCGCAAATTTAACGTATAATTTACTGGTTAATATACGTCTGACATCTTAATATAGATTAGAATGGAGCGATGGTTAACGTTTCATCAACACGCTACTTAAATCGTATTGAGACTAATTATGGTACAAATCTATTTCTAATGTAAACTTGTCCAATACCCATCCTACTGTTCTGCTCCAATTGGGCTAATGAAGGCGGGCATACGCCATACAATGTGCTAGGGGGGTAATTTTGCCCGGACAGCGGCGCTACGGCCTACTCTTATATCGAATTCCAACTGCAAAGGGACTTCCGTTTTTGACCCATCCTAACGACTTGACAGCTGTCATTGTAATCACTGACAAGGAGAAACAATGTCGGAAAATCCGATGAACTTTTTCGGCCAAAACCGGGATCGAACCCACGACCTCCAGGCTAGCGAGCCAGTGTCTTACTCGCTTAGCCACTCCCCGTACGGACAGCACCGTTTCCGTCAATTATTCTTGTAATTCCAACAGTCGATTTTAATTTGCGCGTACTACCAAATTTGTAAATGGGGCCTTGGTTTTCCGTCCCATCTGTTCGACTAAACACACCCTGACCAGTAAAAACCAGGACGAACCCCAATCGACCAGAACCCTTTAGCAAGCCCATATCCAATACATTGATAATACTATCTACCTTAACGTTTTCCAGATTCCTTTTGAAGAGTGTGTAAGTAGTTCGTCCTTGCCCATGCCTCGATAGGGTTTATCAGAATGGTAATGGGGGGTCTCTTTATTGAAATGAACCTCTTGGTGTTTATCATCTATGGCGTCGAATGTCGGATTATCCACACCTGATCCAGATTCATCTAGAGGTTTGTGTGAGACTACATATATTCCCGTTTTATCCATTTTCTTTTATTTGCTACCTGAAATATTTGAAGTGTGAGCGTTGATATGTAATTTCCAAGTTTATTTATAATTCGGCATTCCAGTAATTTTTAGAGTATTCAGAATACATCCCCCGGCGGAATGCCAGGAAATAGAACAGTTTATTCCCCGTAAAACTATGATCCCGCTATTACATGGCTTTCAATGATGAGGATAGTCTATTAAAAACAGGTTCATATTGCGTAAGAGGGGAAGGGCGGTGGTGGGTGGTGGTGGGGGTGGGGTATCAAGGGTTTCGACGCCTTTTCACTCCTTGGGGTAATTGTGGTCCAAGCAATTATTGTAGGTGGACAAGTTCTGTTTTCAGTACCTCTGCCCGGGTATTTGCAGGCATTCGCAGGTGCAAGCCGTGACCAGTGGTGATCAAGGCGTGGTTAACAATAAAAATATTATAATTTTGGATCGAGAACACCGCACACTATTAGTTGAGTAGACGTTCATAGTTCTGTGTTTCACTTTAATAGTGATAATATAGAGAATTCAGGTTTTTCACCGCTTGAAGTTGAGATCATACTACTTGGCTTATTATTATCTGGCTTGTGAATCGAAATTTGGTCTGAAAAAACTGAAAGCTTTTAAACTGATCCTGGTCCTAGAAATTTTAAATTTGGCAAAATAAAGAAATTCAGTTGGGTAGGATTCCTGGTCCCTTTCGAAAAAGATCAATCTCCAATTACATCTACACATATCTCCAATTTTTTCATTCGAGTGGCTGGTGAAGGCTTATAACTCACTTATCCTATCCTAAAATGCATGGTGTAAGCAGTTATAGTGACCTAGAATTCTGAATGTTAATTCTGTATATTTACATACTATTCGGGGAGCTTTCGGATATTTCTTATGGCTGTAATCTGAATAATAATGCATGATTAATGATGATGATTCGTCTGAATAGTTTGGTGATGGTAAAGGCGGGGGAAATATTGATGATCGTACATGGAAACGTGATAATGACCCTTGCAATAATGTTGATTGAAATAATGGTAATGTTGAAATAATGTTAATGATGGGCGAAATAATGACAATGTTGGTTGGCATAATGATAATTGTTCATAATAATGATACCTTTTGGTTTGAATTAGTTAATATTTTTCTTGTCTGGACTGTTTAATTAGTAAGCCTATTATTGTGTATGGTTTTTGTTTAATCTTTTACTTATCATTATTATTGTTATTTAATCTCTGTAAACGTCATTGTGCTTGATAACGATAAGAACAAAACCAGTGATTGTTTCCCCCATAAAAATTGTGTTGCATTAATGATTGATGTTAAAACTAATGGTGGTTTAAATAGGGGTGTTCCAACTTAGCCGGCAGGCTTTGATGTCAAATTTTGCCGCGAATCCAGAGTTAATCCTAGAACAATGGTGTTATAAACTATAGTCCATATCTTTTTTAAGACTAAAACTGTATTGATTTTAACAAATTTAACTTTTATTAAATAACATTAAAGAACATCATTCTTGGTGTTTACAGTAGCTGGACAAGTTTTTGTTGAACATTTCCAATGGACGGCATTTGGTCGGCTTGACTTTATACTGAACTTGTAACCATTGTGTATTAAATATCGGCCACCTCGATTATTGGAGATAAGCGAATATTAACCTGAACGTTTGCCATTTTAAAATAAATATAATTTCGACACAGATCGACCATCTATTTATATTAATATAGTGAATTGAATTCATGTTTGAAATCATAACGCCGGCATGAACTGTGTTCAAAATGTCATTAATTAGTTGGTTAATAAATTTTATTAAGAGGGATTAAGAGCTCATTAACGCTGAACACTAGTGAACAGTTCTTGAGTGACTACTTTGAAACAGACTATAGTTTTAAGATCAATCAAAGGATTAACAGTCTGCCGGCTAAGTGGGAACACACCGTTTAAATATGACTACAGTTAATGATAAATTTAATGCTGAGTGCACAATATGAATATGGTTATTCAATTTTTTGCTGATAATTAGATTATTGAAGCTATTATTGAATAATAATTTAAACATTTTATTGATCATAAATCAGCAAAGGAATGAGAGACAAGTGCATTCACTTACAAAGCTGGGTCCATTTTGATATTTCTATTTTTGTCAGATTTTGTTCACATGTTTGTTTGTTTTTTTAGTTGAGATTTTGTAAACCCAACATTATAGTGTTGGTTTATTTCAATTACAGACATTCAAAACATGCATTATGCAAGAGCAAAATCTGCTTATTACAAGTATTTCTTTAGGCCTGAAATGTTATCTAAATTATCAATTAGACATTAATTAACTTATCTAGACCATAATAAACTCTCGATGTCAAGGCTAGCCTTCGATGTTGGCTGGATTAGATTCCTATATGCCGCTTAACGGCCATTGATAATTAATTCAAAACAGTGGATAATCGAGACTATGCTGTTTATATTAATGATTTTAGTAATGATGACCGAGACTATGCGAAAATTTCACCCGCTTCGTTTTCGGCTCATAGTGGATCAATTTGACTGAAATTTTCAGCAAATTACCTTTACACTATCTAGTTTTTAACTATTATAGCGAGAACTGCCATCTCTTTATCTTATCTCCCATAATGTATCTTAAAATATACAATTAGCTATGAGCAGCTATGCCAAAAAGTAGGACTCGGTTATTGGAGAAATATATATATATACCAATTATTTGCAATATTACTTGATTACTAAATAAATGATTGATTCATGATTTGTGTTAATTTTCACTCTTCCGGGAAATAATAAAAGGCTTAAAGTATTACAAACTGTGACGCAACATGCAGTTATTGATTACTGTCTCGTTTATTTTAATCCTTGTTTTGTGTCGTGTGGTATAATATACTAAAGACAGTTTTTAGTGTATGCAAATGTGTTTTACCTTTGATATATGTATACACACAACCCTTAATCCGTCATCAAACATATAACAGTGGAGGTTTAGTTATCTGATAAGAAAAACTATGTAAATACATATATACTAAGCCTAGCCATGTCCTGCATATATTTACACAAACACCTTAACCTAGAATATGTATGTCATTTCATTATCGTATCTCTTCAACTAGTCGAGACGTGATCATTAAAGAATCATTTCAATAAGACTAAAATTGAACGTGTTTGATTCATAAGAATATCAGCAAGTGGAAATAACACCAAACACATGGTAATGAATATGTATGTCATTTCATTATCGCATCTCTTCAACTAGTCGAGACGTGATCATTTAAGAATCATTTCAATAACACTAGAGTTGAACGTGTTTGATTAATAAGAACATCCGCAAGTGGAAATAACACAAAACACATGATAATGAAAAATTGAAAACAACTGCACACCTCAACACAAATATTTTGACGATGTGAAGATTTACTATCCTGGTGAGTTATTAAAGAGGATAAATCTTTATCAAACTCTCAATTACCCTCGTGTGTCCATTTTAAATTTGATATACCCTTCCCTAGATTTAAATAGTATTCTTAACCTATAGTCTACTAAACAATATGTAACTGTGGGACTGGTTGACTGAAGCTATACGCTGGTGTCCAGATTACCATGAGTGTTTTTACAAAATATGCAAATTGTTCGTCTTGCTCAGACAAGGATTAATGCATTCTAAGAAACATTATTTTTAAATGTATACCCCTATAATGTCGGTAGTTCTTCCCACCCTAAAATGCATTCTTTTCTTTGAAATATTCAAAATTAATTGTATAATATATCACCCAGGCGAAACATTGACACGCCCTAATTCAGCCGCCCATACAGGTTTATAAATTTTATTGGTGAGACTGATGATTTAGAATCGGAAACAAACACAGCGGACAAATATAATATTTTGTGGATAGGCAGCATTCCCCTATCTAGGTCTCCCATAGAGAAAATGTTGCATTTGTTAAACTATACTTTCTTAGAAACTTTAACATCAGTTTAATTAACGGTGACTGAATTAATTGGACAGTTCAAAGCAAACTAATTGATAATAAATTATAGTAATCAATCAAAATGTATCAACATACCTAAATCTACCTTTTCTTTCGTCTTTCCTAAAATTAAGGGTGTACTATCTGCTTATCTCACCCAAGGTCAAAGTCGGTCACATTTGCATATAAATGGACTATTCGGGGTGAATGCAAAAATCATTTTCCGGTCATGCAATCCAGCAAATCATAGCGTGATTTTAATAATCGCCTTTCCTTAACCGATTTAAAATCTGCAAGAGAAAAAGATCATTTTTAACATTAATGTTTAAAAAAAACACGTTTTTATTTTCTTGTTCTACCTATTAGACAAAATGAACTATTCCTCTGTACTGTTCATCACAAAGATTATTGTGAATGTTGTCCTATGCATATCTTTTTATAATGAAAGGCAGCCTGTGCAGTCAAGCATAGTGAATTGACAAAAAAATTAAATGTCTTGCTATTGGTACACACACCTTTTCAAAGTGAGTTACAGGTCCATGGCCTGAGGGTATGTTGACTCAATGTCGGGCTTCGCGTATGCTATTACCTAGGGTAATAATGTCGCTGAATGAAAGGGGTATCTGATTCCCTACCTCTTCTATAGTGTATCATCAAACCCTAACATAAGCTTATAACTGAAATCACCCTTATCAGCTGTATACTGAAGGGTTGAACTCTACCAACAGATTCATTTTGTTCACACTCGACATCAGGTGTGGCATATCACTTTTGTACCCTCAGTCTACTTCAATGAAGTCCTTCGGATGAGACGAAAAACCGAGGTCCCGTGTATACATTGGAATGAACGTAAAAGATCCCTTGGCAGTTGGAAATTGATATAAGAGTAGGCGATAGTGCCGCTGCCCGGGCAAAATTTCCCTCATAGCACACTGTATGGCGTAGGCCCGTCTTCATTAGCCCAGTTTAGGAGCAGAACAGTAGGACGTTAAACCCCATTTCATTTCATTTTGTTTCATTTCATTTCAAAGCTAATTCAATGAACAAAAGTCCATATTTCCTAGTTTGATTAATTTACCACATTTTAAACAGATTAATGGAAAAGAAGATAGAAGATACCATTTGCTATATAGGGTGTGCATGACGATGAATAAAATCGCTAAAAATAACAAGTAGTTTCATGCGCCAGGTTTGGTAAATGCGTCAGAGAGAGAGAGAGAGAGAGGGAGAGAGAGAGATAGATAGGGAGGGTTTAACGTCAACTCGATACAAACCAGGAGATTTCGGGACTAACACACGATTCAATTTTATTTCAATAATTCGCTTGCGCGTATAGGTCTTTAGCAGTGGGAGGAAATCGGAGGACCGGGAGAAAACCCACGAGGTTGGATATGCGAACCTACGTCAGAGGTTGGCCATCACTGTTTCAAACCATAAAATCTGTATTTTGGAAATATTTTCTTTAATTTTTATCTTGATACTAAAATGAGCAAATTGATCAAAAATTCACACAAAACAATATATATCTGCTGTACTAGTATGTCCATACTCTTGATGATGTTAATTACATTGAATCCAATATTGTTATCATAGTTTAATATAGAAATATGTGCATCATATTATTTAACTATGTAGATCTAGTGTTTAAATCAATACAACACAGAGTTATAGATATTGATAACCTATATAGTGTATATATCAACATAGTTACATAGTTACGAAATATAATATTTATAACCCTTTCCAATACATGGTTTGTTTAATATTGATTTTTAACTTGCATCTAGAATGTGTTTTAATAACTACGGTCAGGTGCTGATAGTATGAGAACTTTATTAAAACAAAAATTTTCTCATAAAAGGGATCCGGGTGTGGAAGGCTATGTAACATATTAATGGTATAAATATGACTAATCACTGTCGGTCATTGATTGCAATTAGGTTGCCTGGGGTACGATTCGTAAATATGCGATGAGACCAGCTATCTGATATGACTATAAATAAAGGTCACGCTATCAAAACATGCCGTCTACTCTATACTTTCTTTACATGCGGTGGGTGTGGTATGTGGGTCAGTGTATTTCTAATTGTCTAATTTTACCATTCCTTACGGCCATAAAGCTTTAGTTTACATGACATTAATAAACCCATCAATCTCATAAGATACTAACATGCAGTTATAATGTTTGTATATCACCATAGCTATATATATATTTACTTGTCATATTGGATACATTCACTGCTATCTACTGAGAGAGAGAGAGAGAGAGAGAGAGAGAGAGAGATTTTGTATTTATGCAAAAATGCAAATGGCGCACCGGGACGTTAAAACATTTTTTTTTATCGTGTAGTATAATGTCCTAATGGCAATTCAACTTTTGCATAAATATACATCCTTCATCAAGCATAGATTATATAGTAGTGATGATCTGATTAGAAAAGAAACCCCTAGTGTAGGCTATACAGGAACAGTTTGAGCTAGAATATGCATGACATTTTATTTTCTTATATCGTCAGTTTGCCTAGAATTTTTGAACTGTTATAAAAAAATCTCCCATAATGTATCTTTAATTACATTGAATCCAATATTGTTATCATAATCTACTAGTTTAATATAGAAATATGTGGATCATATTATTTAACTACTAGCAGGATACCCGGCTTCTCTCGGGGGTCATAACTCCGAAACCGGAAGTGGTAGACTAACGCCACCTAGCCTATGTTACTCCCCGGTCCGAGCTACCCCAATACCCCAAATTTCAGACTCGAGGCAGACCTAGTGTAGCCGCCAACCCCGAACAGACAGACAAACAGACAGACAGACAGACAGACAAACGACAGTCACAAATATATATATATATAGATAGATAGATAGATAGATAGATGTAGATCTAGTGTTTAAATCAATACAACACAGAGTTATAGATATTGATAACCTATATAGTGTATATATCAACATAGTTACGAAACATAATATTTTTAACCCTTTCCAATACATGGTTTGTTTAATATTGATTTTTAACTTCCACCTAGAATGTGTTTTAATAACTACAGTCAGATGTCGATAGTATGAGAACTTTATTAAAACAAAAATTAGAAGCTTTTTATCATAGTTCATCGGCTAAGACAATAACAAGTAACACTTAGGTTTACTTCCTTTCCCATTAATTTCCACAAGGGTATGTAATAATATCGTTGACGCCTTGAATGCGTCCATTGCAGTAAGGTAGATCATGATGTGTAGCATCTGGCTTGGATGGTGGATGGATAGCAGGCGTGAAAAATTACCCTTTCCTCAAAGTTTCGCAATTCTAAGAAAAAAAAATTAAAACGGGGAGAGGGGCGATATGGGAGCGCATATAAATTGGTCTATTTTTTATTTTTGTTGGTCATTTATTTACAAATCATACATGATTTTGTAGCTTATCAATTGGACTACGAGATACAAGATAGTTCGTTTCGGGATGCAATGAAAAATGTATAATTTCTATCCTCTGGAAAGAAAACGCCAGTGGATAGTTTTTGAAACCAAAGTAAACCGTACACGCCTATTGAGACGTATTTTCCCCAACACTAAAGTAACTTCCATAATTTCGGTTGATGTCACCAATATGGACATTTTGCTTTGTACGGTCAGATTAGATATTTTCAATGTTTGCTTTTCATTACATTCACAAGACAATACGATATTACTCTTGGTGGTGGTTTGAGGGGTAGAAAAGAGGGTGGACGGGTACATAGGTTAAAGGGTTGATTGACAGTTTTGACTATATTGACCAGTCCTTGGATACCTCTGGTATAAGATCATGTTTAACCATCTAGCAGAATTCTTTCTTTAGCAATTTCTGACAGATAATGTTCAGTAGGTGTAGACTATGTATTCAAAGTAGAGTTGGCTAGTTTCAATTTGCATCCCAGCAAAATATTTGCGTGGAGTAATATATATCATATATAAATAATAGCTGTCTGCTGTATCCGACAGGGGGTTGGGTGACTGAATGGTTAGCACGTGCGCGCTGTATCATAAGGTCCTCCCACTGCTGCCGGCTAATATTGGGCTGTGTGAAACATGCTAAAGTCGATTTGAAGCATAATGAAATACGAACAATTATGGTACATATGCGTGTAATAATAAAAAAACAAGTTATTCGAAAATTTCCACAATATTCAGCTTTATTAATTGTAAAAAGAAATAAAAAATATAATTTCAGTCAGAAGATCATATTTTGAAATTCCTGTGACAAGGATTGAGCGATTGAAGTCTATCAAGAACTCCATGGAATGAAATGTATTTTTGGCATACACATGCTATTACACTATTGCCCGTAGAGATTATTTTTATCATCTTCTAATATAGGTATCGGTAGTTGGTTTTAACCAAACACAATGAGATTAGTGTAAGCAATCTGCTTATATGATCTGCCCTGCAGAAACTCCTCCACAGGCCAGCACGGGGGCGGGCCTAATAGACTTCAATTAAAATAACTGTACAATGAGTCACAAACTTTAACCTGGTGGCGGCTTATTAAATAACATCAGGTGGCGCTGTATCCCAATCCAATTTGTACTTGATAACGATAAGAGAATACTTGTCGGAACATCGTGCTATATGTGTATAAAGCTGTGATTGTTTTCCATATAAATTGTGTTGTGTTTGTCATTTGCCAAGTTACTGACTTGTCTAAGGTACGCAAATATAAATATGATGACAGGTAATTTGTCATTCTACTAAGAACAAATTAGTGTTAATAGCTCAGGGGACGACTTATAAATGATATACATGGGAATTTGGCATGTTATATTTTATATTGATTGCACAAAACCTGACGCGATGGCTGTAACAAGAGACAAATATTATGACTTCTATTTAATGAAATGCTTTACACTGTATGTTCATTTCTTTAGCTGCAATTTCTACTGATTTGACCTTGTTCAGGTCAAGGTCGTACACACCGTTATTGGCTAGCTTTGCGATGTTTTTAAAATGTGCATTAATTAGGGAGACGCATTCAATATTTTTGTTTTTGCACCACGTGGTTAAATGTTCTATTAAAGGTTGGTGTGTTGTGAATTCAAAAAGTGACCACATCACAATCCCTTTAAATGGTTCGCACATTCGTCTAAATGCAGCGGCCATGTTAATCTTAGTTTCGTGGATGGCGGCACAATAAGCATGACGGTTTATTTTGTTTGTTGCGTCTAAATAATATTTGTCATGCAATGTCACGTGCAAATCACGCGTT